GAAATGGTAGGGAAACTGGGTCCCTGCGCCTTTATGAATTATTGCGAACGGCCTGAGATTTAGTAGGGATTTACATATGACCACTAAATGGGTCAGCAGGGAATGACATTTCACTTGAGATTTGTAAGATTTATGTTGGGATAGCAGAGCTATCATAAGGTCAGAGGAGAGCTCCTGCTCATCGAGAGGCAGGGGGATGCTGCCTGTCCCTGCCGCCTGGCTGAAAGACCTGATCCAGCTCCTCTCATTTAGCCACTGGAAATCACTGATTCTTCAGGCCATATGTAACTCAGACCTGAACTTTAGGTGTGTAGTCTGTACATTTAAAGTGTGAGTAGCTGAATTGTGTTAGGAAAACAATGTATTTTATTTATTGTTTTTCATTTAGAGATAGTAAAAGCCTTTGGGAAGGTATTGTTCGACTGCTACATGGCACATGGTTCTGGGAAAGCTCCTTTTGCTCCACTGGACTGGAATAAGCTGTGGTAGTGGATACACTTAGATATTACTACATCTGCACTAGAGGATTTTCAGCTTTAATTATGCCGATGCATTCTTTAAGCATAGAGCAGACCTAATTTTAGGACTAGCTTTTTTTGAACATCAAGGAAAGGAAATGAAGCTATGGTAACTACCCTGCAAATGTGTCTGTTTAAAAGGTTTTAGGGAGACCTTTACACAAATGTTAAAATAACATATTTTTAAGTCAGAATGTAATTTGCCCCCTCTTGTAATTTACTCTTCGCATACTCCTCAAGCAGCCTTGTGCCAATCTCAGTCTTTATTTAGTTCTGCTGGAATATATTTGACTTCCTAAGAGTGTAAGAACTTCTCCCTTTAGCGCATGTGGGAGGGTGTACTTGGCACGTATAAAGCACTTCTGCCCAAGGGCAGGCAGGGCTGGTGTGAACCCCAGTGACTTCAAATGGCTGTGGATGACCCTTGTTGTTGAGAGCACCTAACAGCTTGGAGACATCTTACTCATATTTCTTTCCCAGTCTGTCAGGCTGAAGTTTTTCAAGTCTGTCCTTGAGATAAACCTGGAACTTACCCCAGGTTTAATCAGGAAAATGTATGTGTCAAGTTGTTCTTCATCATCAAATTTTGCTAATAAATGCCAAGCTCTTGTAGGGGACAAGAAATTCTTAGCACATGTGTTTACAATTGAAATTTTAGCAGTGCAATTGATGCTGTTGCATATGTGTTCAGCCCGTAACTATCAAATAAGAGACAGGCTATGTACAGAAGAAAAGACTTCTATTTATTTGTTTTAAATTGTCATAGCTTAAATTAAACCAGTTGAATCAGCCAACTAAGACTGTTCCTCAAAACTGTTTCCCCTTTGCATATATAATAATTTGCTCAGATATCTATAATAGTTTTCCTGTAATTGCCTGTGTTAGATGGACTGCATGTCCTGAACATAAAAGCAGTTTAGGATTGATCCCTCCACAGCGAAATCATGGATTTTCCTTTCCCATCTGTTGAATTAGAATTGAAATATGGGAAATTTGTTTTTCAAATTAAGACATTCTATTTTTCCTACATAATGTAACTTTATTTTTCTGGACTTCTTGTCTTAAAATAAAAAGCTTCTATTGGTATGTAAATAAGATAGAATTACTTAAAATTGCAGACTCAGGAAAGTACAAGTGAAACTGTAACAGGGAGATCTCTAAGATACTATGTAAGTAGTCAAAATAGAAGTGTGTCTTGGAGTTAAGCTTGCCTTACTGTACAGACCATGAAGTAAAGCTGTTGCAGAAAAAAAAAAAAATCTCTGTGCAGTTAGGACTGGTCCAAATATATATGGAACAAATTCAAGGCAAACTTGGCCTGGAAACCATGGAAGAAAATAAACCAAGTGCTTCAGTAAGGTAATTTCAGAGTAGCGCTTTAGTATTGTTGAAATCTTTAGTCCATATCCATGCACATGGCAAAAAGCCTTGCAAATAGTCTAGTTTTCAGCTATCAATCTTTTTAACAAGAGAAATGGCAGGGTGGGTTTGTGGCAGGGGTCAGAGGACAGCTCATTCTGCAGAAGCGTACAGCGAGCGAAGGAAGACCTCTGCTGATAGAGCCGGGCACTGCACAGCTCTGAGAGCACGGCCGGGGAGAAGCCTTGGCAGTGCCTTTCCCTGCGGGACGCCGAGCCTGGGTAGCGTGGGAGCTAGCAGCTCCTCGGGGGAAAGGTGCCAAAAAAGCAGCAGTGCAATGTTGCAATTAGCATTTGTGGAAGAGACGTGGAGGTGGTGGTCCCCATGGCCACAGTGGCCTTCCCAGAGGTGGCTGTGCTGGGGTGGAGGTGACGGGCTGTCAGCCAGGCTGGCCGGCGCCCACAAAGAGCTTGGCTGTGCAGCTGGGCAAAACGGGCTGTGTACAGTCTGGACCTAAATGCAGATCAAGCTTCATTATATTTTCATTTCAACTCCAAGCCCTTTGGGCTCCTGATCCACAAAAGACTTGCAACTGTGTCATTTTATGCGAGCAGCCCCTTACTCTTTCCTTGCAATGCTCGTGCACTTCAGGTTAAGGACGCATGTAACGGCTGTGTTCTCCTGGGCCCTGGGCGCTGAGTATTCCTCGTGCAGAAGCCATTGAAGAGATATCTTAAATGGATCAACCAGCCCCTGCAGTGTTGGGCAGGTGCAGGGCAATGTCCTGGCTACACTTCCCCAACACATGCAATGGCACCGCTGCAGCCAGGGCAAGTGAAATCAAACCCCCCTCCATCTCACGGGATCAGCATTTCTTACGGGACTGGCTCACACTACCTGAGGCATACACCTTGAGTGCTTCACAGTGTATAAAGCTTTTACTCAAAATTCTAAAGGATATATAATGACTGAGGGTTTTTTCATTGCTGTTTTTAGACAAGTGATGGAGCAACAGCAACAGCGCCAGGAATCTCTGGAAAGAAGAACCTCTACCACAGGCATGTATCAAACCAAGCAGATATAGTCTCTCCCTGCTTGTCTCCTCTGGCTGTAGTTGGGTTTTGCGTGGTGCTCTACAAAAGCTAGACTGCTAAAAGCAGTTGTAGTTACAATTAGATTTTAAAGCATTTTCAGCTAGGGACTTACATGCACTCGGGCATGGTTGTGTTGTTCCACAAAGGCTCAGTCAGGTCTGGGGTGTGCAGGTGGAGCTGGGCAGGTTTTGTGCTTGGCAAAACTTGTACGGCTGAGGGGGATTTTAGGCATGCCAAGGGGGGGCTGGCCACGCTTCTTCCACACCCATGGAAGGTAGCACAGCCACCACAACAGTGACTCTGTGTTTCCAGGGGATGTCAGCCTGAAGGGGTGGAGGTGCTGGATGTGCCAAGTCAGGCACTCCCCATCGCTCTGCAGCACAAAGCAAACTACAGTGCAGACAAAAATACAGCTCTAGATGGGGATTTTGTGGTCATGAAGTGAGAAGTCTTCTGTGAGCTTAATGGAAAAAAATATATATATTTAATGAGTTTACAAAAATCTTCTAAAGCATATTAAGTTGCACAAAGCTGAGAGCAGAGATGACAGGAATAGCTTATAACTACAAAGTATGGCTCTGCCTCTTTGCAGGAAGGCAGAGCAAGCAAGCCAAGATGGCATCTTGTGTTTGGGTTTTTCTTTTGGGGAAGTTTTCTCAGTTAATCTGGCCACATAAGTGAAATGCTTTTCCTCAGCTGCTACAACTTTTTAGTTTTTGACTTGAAACCAGCTCAGACATACACATGCACCTTAGTCAGTGACAGAAGTTGTTGGACTCTTTCAGCAGAGGTTACTGTTGGGAACAAAGCCAAAATCCTGCCTCAGCATCCGCAGGGAGTGGGACATGTCTCCTGGAGGCTTCTGGCTGTCCCCTCCCTGGCTACGAGGTGGCCACTGCATGTCCCTTGCAGCTCCCCTGGTGCAAGGGTGATGCTCGTGATCCTGACTCAGATTCACATGGGGCTTGGAGGAGCCTCACCGCACTGGAGCACACAGCCCAGCTTCTGCTGGCTCCACAGAGCGCTCCAGTTCTGCCAAGGGTTGGACACCCCCAAGCTGGTGCCTGCCAGTGCCTGCCCCATCTCCTTTATGCTTTGTTTGAATTTCGCTTTGCGCTTACTTTGCGGTGCCTTTTTCTCTGTTCTGCTTTGCTTTGGTTTCATTCCTTGCTGCATAGACATCTTATTCTTTTCATTTGTCTTTTCTGTTCTTTTAGTTTCCACCTTTCAGATAAGCCTGTGCTCTCCCCCGTCTCAGCCCCAGTCTCCTCCTCCTGCCTGCAGTAGCTGCGGTGCTCCTGCCCCTGGTGCTGTGCCCCCCCCACCACCTCATGCTAGAGGTGTCTCTTTGGCACCCGCTGTCCCCGAGCCTGCCAGTCAATCTTCTTTCAGATCCCCACGGAAAGCCAGAGGGCCCCCGCAACTCCTGCACAGGCACTCAGCCTCTGAGCTGCCAACAGCCCTGGGTTCCTCCCCTCCAGCCTGCCCAAACCACAGGACCGTCACGCCAGGCATCAGGCAGACCTCGCTGTCTCCACCACCTGCCCATCCTTCCCCCTTTCCCTTTGCCTCTCGCCAGCCTCTCAGGCGCTCTTCTCTTTCCTGCTCTCCTCGGTCTTCTGCTTGCCCCACCAGCAATGCAGCACCTCTGAAGAGGGGTGACGTGCTGCAGCCACGTGGTCCCACCATCCTCCCCGTGATTCCTGTCCCGCCTGACAAGGTCAAGGGACCCACAGATAAAGCAGGCCAGGACGCCTCGGCAAATGTACCTCTGAATGGCTATCCTGAAGAACAGATTGCTTTAGGCCCCTCTGGGACCCAGGTGAAATGCCTGGATGGGTCCTTCTTTCCACACCTAGGAGCTACACCCTCCTCCTCGCTGCCCACCATCACCAGTCCCCCCAGCTCCTTTGGCCAAGCTCCTTCCCCATCCTCCCATCCATCATCTCGTCCTCCACAGCAGTGGTATCAGCCCATGTCACACTGTCTTCCATTGCCTCTCCCTTACGCTGCTGTGTCTGAGGTGACTATGCCCAGGAGGACCCCTCCTTACATGACTTCATCAGCCATTGCCCACTTGAGTAAGTACTGATTTTGAATGAGTTGCGACCTGTATAAAGCCTTAGCTTTCAGCTATTTAAAAAGCCCCATTTGCACTGCCTGTGACTGCTAGAAAAAGGGCTGATAGACCCAAGGCTCCTCCTGTTGTACATGATTTCTGAAACCAAGGCGGAAAAGTATAAAAATCACTCAGTACTGGTCCAGGGACCTTCTGAGCTAAAAGTAAGGCAAAAAAAAAAAAAAAAAAAAAAAAAAGAACTGCAGGGCCAGGGCACTGTAGATGGGTTGTTGCAATGCATATTCTTACTGTATTAGCCCAGAAGGAGAATTTTATCATCCAGCAGAGTCAAACTGCATTTGGCAGTGAGCTTCGCACAAAACCTATATTCGGCTGGTCCCAGCACAGTGGATGGGCTCTTCTGAAGCTGGAGGCCAGGTCTGCAGTAGACTTGTTGCCTCTGTAGCAATATTGGTAGAGGTTGTGATTTTTATTCTTTTTCTTAAGTGGTATTTCTGTTACCAGCAAAACATATAACATGGATTTTGTTGTACTTACCCAGAATCCCCTGTGCTTATGTAATTTATTTCCTTCTGGAAACTCTCTTCCCGGTATAAACTGCATTTATAGTTGAGGGCTTGTCACTATAACTATTCCAGCAAACCTGTTTCAGTGCAGGCAGATCAAGAGCTTGTGTCTGCCACTTTGCATATGGTCTTGATTTCTAGCGCTTGTCTAAAGCCTGTGGAGTTAGAACAGTTACGAGTAATGCCTATTTGCAATTCAAATCATACGTTTTGTGACTTGGACCCATTCCTGTTTATAACCACATATAATGTTTAAATGATGTGCCTAGAAGAAAACGGAGACATTTCCTTTCATTTTCTGCTAAAAATATTACATCAACCACTGGAGGCTCAGTCCTGCAGCTGATATAAGTCCTTCAAATCCACCTTAGTTCAATGAAGTTATTTTAAATTCACATCAGGCCATTATTTTGACTCAGTTCAATTTTTGCCTCGGGCTGGCCTCTAATTAGGTGGGTGTAGTTTTGCAATTACAATTAACTGTACCCACAATGAATTAGCAGCTATTATGTTCATGAACCAAAGAGGGCTTGAAATGTTTAAAGTATTTCTAATAGCAGCCATGGTTCATTTCAAGAATGGAATTGGGAGTGGGAAATAATGGCAGAAGTAACCACAGAAATAAGTTAGTATTGTAAGAAAACCGAGATAAGAAGAAAACTAGGCTGATAATGTTAAATACAGTTTCCAAATGTTCCTCAGTCAAAACCTGCATATCTTTCAAAATAACACTTACTGAAAAACTGAATCTGTGATTATGTATCAGGAGCAGCCTGTTCTGAGAGAGTGTAACGTGGGAAAATACCCTTGGGGAGGTGGATTCGTTCAACTGCCCTGTTACAGACGGGCAAAACACTGGAATGGAGTTACCCACCATCAGCCCCTCCAATGGGCTGCTGCTTTGAGAAGCTTTGTTGAACCTCGGGGTGCTTGGAGCTGGACTCTCCCCCTGTTATTCTGCAAGACTACCTGAGGCCACACACTTTCTGTTCAACAGAAAGGAGGACGTGTCACTCTAGCCCACAATTGTAGTGAAAAGCTGATGTTAACATATGTCCACACAGTGGGCTGATGTAGTTTATTATCTCCGTATAGCAAGCTATGAAAGGAGCAGAAGAAGGTGCCACTTACGAATTGGGAAGTGTTGTCTGTGTTTTGATTTTGGCACAGAATAAAACACTAGCCCAGCCAGGGAGAAGAGGAGGGAGAAGGCTAGTTTATCAGTGACAGCGGCTCGCAGTAGGACACAACTGTAGTTGATTGACTGTTGGTGCACCCATCATCCTCCGTTCTTCTGCGTGCTTGGTGCTTCCTTGCATTGCTCACTCATCACACAGTCAGGTCATGGCCTTGGGAGCGAGAACGTGACCTTGTGTATGGGCTGGAGGAGACCATGCTTCACATCTAATTCATATTCTCTGCATTTCAGGCCCAGCACTTCCACCTGGTCATCCCAGTGGCGCTGCTGTGATCCCTGCTTCGTCCGGGGGGCCCCCACCTC